TTTTATATTTTTCAATTTCTCTCACACTCTGTTTAAAGGAGCTGTGAGTCTGTGCTCCCATCACCAAAATATTCAAAGTTAATTTTGAAAAGAAAAAAAAAAGGGGTTGACCTATTTTCCTACTTTTTGTGCACCTCCCACTGTTTTAGCACTTCCATGACACATTAGTGATACGATGTGTGTACTCTGACATTCAGTGAGATGCTGTAGGACACACACTCTGCTGTACAGAGGCTGGATACAGGCTGTAAGTTATACTCTGCTGGCAATACCTCTAGGCTGGCAGTGATGAGAATCTGACTCTCTCTGTGCAGTGTCTTTGTAATTCACCTGGATCAGGCCTTTTATATATCATCTAATGCAGTCTTCTCCTTAATGTTTTCTCTTTCATTTTTTTTTTTTTTAATTGGTTTGTGTTTCTCTTTTCTGAAGTTCCAGTTCAGAACATACTTTATGTCTTTCCAAGGCATTAAAAGATTTAGGTGAAATAGCTTGGTTATTTTTAATTCATGTCTGAACAGCCAAAAATTCCCTTTGTCAGCTTAGGCTAGCAACTTGTTAGCAACACAGACACTGTGGTGCAGCCGTAAAATAAAAAATATTTATGAAAAACACATGTACAATGTGTTTTGATTTTTTTCCCTTATCAGTACTAGAGCATCACGTATCAGATGCTGCCTTGGATCAGCGCCACTGGGGACCCTGCAGGTGCTGAGGAGTTGGTGGCCTTGGGCAGGGGCAAGTGTCTCACAGGGCTTGGAGACCTCCAGGAGAGCCTTGGCAACTGGCAGCAGTGACCTGTGGGTGCAGAAGCTGCCCTGGCTCCTGCTGAGCTCAGCGCTGTGCTTCACTTTCCTTCCCTGCAGCCTTGCTCTGGGCAAGTTGCTTTTCTGCCACTGTGGTCCTGCTGGTGCCAAGCATCTTATACTCCCATCCATGTTCTCCCTCTCTGCTATGTGGAGGTGGGACCAAATGAATAGTTTGGTTCTTTACCACGTTAGAAAACAGAGAACTAGATTTAATGATGAAACTGGTAGTATGGAAATTGGAACATGACTAAACTATGGCCCACTGCTCTCTTCTCTACTGGTATTTAATCAAGAGTGACATCACTGAAGACTCGTCACTAGACTTATCAGAATGATTTCAGCAGCATCATTCTCTGTGAATCCTAACAGGAAGTGCAATACATTGTCTTTATAACTAGAATTCATACTTCATCTTTTTCACTAGTTCTGCAGTTAGATGTGTTAGACATTCAAAAAAAAAAGAAAAAAGGAAAAAAGCCACAGGCTAGGCAGGTGTCTCTGTCAGTGACCTTGTGAGTCAGGACTGGCTGAACTGACATTAACAAAGTGAAGCTTATGTGTAGGTACTCTGTACTCTGTATTCTGCAGAACAGAATAATGATCTGCAGGGATGCAGGTTGTGGCTGATAGTTGGACTAGATTATCTTAATGCTCTTTTCCAACTTTAATGATTCTAAGATTCTGAAAAAAAAACAAGATTAAATGATGTCTGGAATTCTACCAGCTAGGTCATCACAATTCACTAAAAATCCCTCAACTTATGAAGCTGAGCTATATATTTGCTGAACTTTTGGCAGACAGGTTCTGTTTTAAGAGAATTATTGATAGACAAATTCATCCCTGTTGCTATTAAGCTGACAGCAATATTCTTTGGCACTGACATTTCATGCCCTGTGGATATTAATTAAATTACCATCACAGGCCTTTTAATTATCCATATTCTTATTACATTGATTTGAAGTGAGATAGGAACTATGGTGACTCACTGAGACTGTACACTAATGTTTGTAGGCATTGCCTGTGAGGAAAATGGAATTTGAATGCATGCCTTTCTTCTTGCTATTAAATAGGAAGTGAATTTCATAAACTCATTTGTGCAAGGAATGTAATTTCTTTGGGAAGAGCTCCTGTAGCTTAGCATTTGTTTTTTACCTGCAGAGCCATCAGGAATTCTAAGTGGAATATTCAATAACAATAATATACAGCATGAATGACATTTTGGAACCTGGATTACATTTTCCATATCCTATGCAGGGAGGTACCACAGGAAATGATGCTAAGAAAAACATCCACAGATGCCCATGAAAGTTGGTCCATGCTATGGCTTTCATGAGCTTTGGTGGAATATTAAAGAACATAAAATCTCAGGGTGAAATTTTGTGGAAATTAAGCTTTTTGCAGAGGCTAAGGGTCACTTTACCAACAGAGTCTGTGATCTCTTCTCCTACTACATTAGGAATGAACTGCCTGTGCACAGGCCAATGCTGACATGGTGCTGCCATGTCCAGCCTTGTACCTTTGCTGATCCCAAAGCTGCCTTCCTGACTTGGCTTCCCAGCTGACCTCAGACCTGCCTTGTCACCAGAGGTTTGTCTGGTGATCAGAGAACAGTTGGCCAGACCTGCTCTTCTGCCTCGCTGGGGTGCCGTGGGACTGTGGTGTGTCGGTGACGATGCTGCCCAGTCTGCCTGGCTGTCACACTCAGCTCCTGGCTCACTGCCCCTTTCAGAGCTGCCAGCTCTAACTACTCCCTGACACAGAGGTTAAATTTGACTCAGTTTTGTTGTCTAGCTTTCATTTTCATTATTTTTAAAATTAATTCTTAAATTCCTTAAATTAAAAGCCCAAATAGAATTGACTTTCCAACCTTTATGGCATGTGAAAGATTTAAAAATCAACCTCTGAGTTATTTTTTTCCATAAAGTTATACTGAATTTTGGTTCTGCTTTCATTTCAATGCTACTGTGAAATTTCACATTCTGTTGCAAAATGCATAGGTCAGCAGTGGAAAAAATTCATGATGAAGTAACTTGCACCACTGCTTGCATAATTCTTCCTTCACAATATATAAGAAGGAACTACAGAAAAAAAATCCTAAATCAGAAACACAAACCCACATCAAAACAAAATCCAGTAAATGGAAACAAAAAAGAGAAGGGAACATCATTTTCTAGAGAGGAAGGCAACAGCCAGAATAAAGACTACCCACAGGATCACAGGAAAATTTTGGTTTGAAGGGACCTCAGGGTATCTCAAGCGCAACCTTCTCCTAAAGGGAAGGTCAGCTACAAGGCCAGATGTTGCTCAAGCTTTGATGAGTTGGGTATTGGAAACGACTGAGGATGGAGCACACAGAACATCTTGGTGCAACCTGCTCCACTGCTTGTCAGTTCTTCATAGCTCAAAAACTCTTCCTTGTATCAACCCTGACCCTTGCTTCAAGTTATACACGTGATTTCTTGTCCCTCCTTGTCCTGGCTTCAGCACAGGTAAGGTTAAGTTTCTTTCAATAGCTGTTACAGTGTCTTGAATTCAGAATGTGTGTTGATAACACACTGATGTGTTCTGGGTTTTGTTAAGTGTTTATGATAAGTAAAGGACTTTTTACTTGCCTCCTGCTCTGCCAGTGAGGAGGTTTGCAAAAGAACTGGGAGAGAGCATAGCTGGGACAGGTGACCCAAACTGGCCAAAGGGGTATTCCACATAATAAAATGCCCAGTATATAACCTGGGGGAAGTCACCCAGAAGGGTGGCTGATCTGGGCTCAGGAGGTGGGGTCTGGAACTGGTCAGTGGGTGGTGAGCAATTGTGTTGCATGTCACTTGTTTTTTCCCTTATTATTATCATTGTTATTATGATTGACCATTATTACTATATTTTTAATTTATTTTTGATTATAAAACTGTTTTTATATCAACTTACAAGTTTTACTTTGATTCTCCTTTCCATTCCACTTGTCTGTGGAGAGACAGAAGGGGGTTGAGCGAGTGGTTGCAGGGTCCCTTATTTCCAGCCAGTCTTAAAACATATCACTCCTGCTATGAGCTCTTGTGAAGAAGCTCCATCTTCTCAATAACCTCTTTGCAGGATTTCAAAGCTGCCATTAAGTCCCCCAAAGTCTTCTCTTTTCCAGGCTGAACAAGTCCAGCTTCCTCAGCCTGGCAAGGTCCCATTTGTACAGACACACACAGCAACTCATGAAAACAATGGAAATGCTCTTTGCAATGGAGAAATTTTTAATTTACACACAGAGGGATCTTCTCATAAGAAATATCTTATTGTTTGTGACCATTTTATGCACATCCTCCATACATAATGTCAGACCTAAAAAGGTGCTGAATTTGTGTCTTTCCACCACACAAATGGCTAGAGGGCAATTTTTTTTTTTTACGAAAAGAAAAATTCTTTCCCTATGAAATAAAAAACCCACCATAACCAAATATTTTTTTTTTCTGGGAATTGAGAAAAAGCAAAAAAATTGTGAGAGAAGACAAAAATGTAATGTTTTAACTCTTTTCAGAGGGTCATGTGTCTGGATGGGACAGGGAACCAGGAGGCCAGGCAGCTGTTTCTGGGGCCTGAACATGAACAGGTCCCTGAGTTAACAGTTGCACTTCTGGTTTGTGCTAACATCAACTCTTGCAAAATGTGGGTTCTTTTGCTTCCATTCTTACTGTTTCTTGGTACATTCACATTCTTTGCTGGTTTGCCAGTATTGCTGTCTGGCCTGTTTAATTTTCTTAAAACTGGCAGACTGAGAGCCCTGGAACCTCTAGCTGAGGCCTCCATGTGCAGTTAAGTAAATGGATGCAAACCTTAATTTATTGAGTCTGAAAACGGAACCACATCCCAGATTTCAGTCATAACAAGCAACTCTAAAGGCTGGCCCTTTACATTACTGAGATGTGAAACCTCACTTTTCTATCTTTCTCTTCCTCCTCTGCATGTATCAAGGAAAGTTTCATCCAAGTTAAAGCAGTGCTGGCTAGAATTTGCTTCTTTATGGGCACTTGAATTAATGAATCTTCAACTACCTGAAACCCAATACTGGTATTGTAATGAAACTGCATCACATACAGTTATACATTAGAACATATATTTTTCAAAGAAAACAGAAGCTTAAGGGCAGGTAAGTGCCCGTACATAGGAGGTAAAATTTTTTTTGAGAAGTGTCTGCTCTCAGGGGTATGCTAAAGAAGAATTTGAATCTTTAATGAAACACAAGGACCATCACAGCAGCATAAATGACACCATGAAATTACAGAGAAATTTACCACGCTCCCTCTGTCTCCTCCTTTGCTAATCAGGACAAAGAGGACTCCAGCTGCAACAGGAGACAGTTCTGTGGGGGATCCTCAGTAATTCTGTCAGCATGTCACAGCCATCCTTCTTAACTGAGTGCTTGTTCCTTATCACTGATTTATGTACCGTACGTGATTTAAACTTATGTGTTGATACTCCATTGTTTTCATCGACCCTATATGAAGTTCTTATTGGCTCCAGCTACAGGTTTTGTTTAGACTGGTATCTCTGAGTTTTGGGGCATTTCCTAGGTACAGACTGGAGAGGAATTTTTCTTTCTTTTCCTTTCAGGTTATACAGTTTTCTTTTGCATGTGCTCATTCAGGAATTTTTGACAGACTGTGTTTCACAGGCAGTTCTGTAGGTGGTCAGTGCAATGGTTTTTGTAGCAGAACTGCACAGAGCATATTCTTTGGCTTGGTCTTCCTCACGCTTTCGCAGGCACAAGCAACACCTGAGCAAATTTACTATGTCTGTTCGTGCAGTTTCACTCACAAAGCAGTACAGAATGGGATCCGCAATGCAGTTCAAACTTGTTAAGGCCTGTGTGATTCTGTAAACCTTATACATCAACAACAAAAGGTGTGGGTCAGAGGTGGAAGGTTCTTTGATGCTGCGGATAAGCAATACAACGTGATAAGGAGTGAAGCAAACAAGGTAAGTAACTGTGATGTTCAGAATAAGTTTCCTCACTTTTTTCTTTTCTTCATCTACTGTGGCTTGATTATACCTCACCACTTGGTAGATTTTATGGTAGCAAAACACAATGATTACCAAAGGGACCACGTACCCTGAGCATATCCGGAATAAATTTATGTTTGCCTGCCACCTTTCCAGGGGGTAGCTGTCATAGCATAATGTATGATTAGTGAAATTGCAAGGATCATTGAATACTTCTTTGTACACCAATATGACTGAATTAAAGATGCTTTCCAGAAGCCAAACAATTATGCTGACAACCAATGAAAATCTTCTTGTGCGCAGGTACTGGAGCTTCAAGGGGTGAACTAATGCCAGGTACCTGTCAAGAGAGATGCAAGCAAGGAACGCAGTGCTGGTGTAGAAATTCATATACATAAGGAAGGCAAAAATCTGACAAAGCAAGGCAGAGAGCCTCCAGTCATCTCCATGCCAGGCATAATCAATCCACAGCGGCAGAATCGAAGAGTACAAAAGGTCGGCCAGGGACAGACTAAAGATGTAGACTGCTAACTCATTCTTCTTCCTCACCTGAATGCAAGATACATACAGGGATATGCAGTTGATGGGAATACTGATCATCATCACAGTGCTGTACACAAATGGAAACAAATACTTATCCAGGGTGTGATCATCATGGCACTCAGTGTTGTTCATTGTCCACCCCCGTAGTAAACTTGAGATAATTCCAGTTTGGGTGCAATAAAACCCCTTGTCATCTGTTAGTTCTTCAGAACCTGATTGACAAGATTCCAGGACTCTGTTACCAAAAAGAAAAAATGTCAGCTATAACATTTCTGTTGTTTTTATGGGATTCCTGGTGTGTGACTTTTTTTTTTTTTTAGAAGAAAGAAACCGTGCTTTTAGGAGATCAGAGGATATTAATGCTCCCAGAGTTAAGATTGCATAGGAAGAGGAACCCAAAATCTAAGGTTGCCAAGCTCAGTTAGATGGAAGCTTCTACAGCAGAAGCAGGATGAATAGTTAAGACACTTCTTCTAGGAGTGGAGTGGTGTCCTGCAATCCCGGGTCTCTCTTGTGGGAGAGTTAAAGGAGATCAGAAAGTGAACCACAAATAAAATAATAGATGTGCACTTTCTATTTTCCTGGTAAGCACTGTTTTGGGAATATGAATATGGTAGATTTCTTATCCCAAATAATCTCCTCCCCTCCAAGGCAATGGGGAGACAAAGATAGAAATACAGGCATTCAGGTACCACTGGATGTCGGAATCTGCTCAGAAGAGGAAAATGTGTATCTGGTATATTTCCCTACTGCAAATCGCTCTTGTCTTGTTTGCGTCCTCACACACCCCTGCTTCCTCTCTCCTCCTTTGTATGTGATCCCACATGAACTTGCCGTCAGCTGTGCTCTTCCAGCACAACTCACTGCATGTACCAGAAACCCTGGTGTGAATCCTGCCAGGCTACTGAGTTCCTGCCTGCACATGACAATCTGCTGGGCTGAGCAAGTGAGGTGGAGACTGAGTACAGTTTTTCATTTACACTTCTTCCCTCTAGAAATTGCAGCTGTGATGCATGAGCTTATAAAGACATTAGCAATTAAACTTTTCTTAGTCACTTTCAGGACTGTGGTTATCAACAGCTTCAACATGAAAATATTAGTAAAATGGCAGGCCTGACTAAAGCAGTGGGACTGGAGGAGTTGTGTGTGTGAGTCTTAGAAACACAAAGAAGAGCTGACCTTTCAGTAAGAAAGGGTGCACAGCTGTAGTGGTGAGACAGCTGGTACTCACTGATTGTGTCACAGCTCTGACATTCAGCAGCTCCCTTCTCTAGAGAGCATCTAATTGTTACGTTCAGGAAACACAAGAATGGAAAATATTGGGTTCGGTCCAGTTATACTGTGAAATATGCCAACTGCTTGGGAGACTGCTGTGATAGCTCATCTGTGCTTAGAGCCTGGACTGCAGCAGAGGAGGTGAAGAATCTGAAGAATAAGTAGGTTGAAAAATAGCACATCTACAACTGTTCCACATGGGAAAGAACTCCAATGGAATACATCCTGTCTGCAGAAACTTTTTAAAAATATGTGGTAAGAAAAATTCATCCTTTTGTAGGTTTGATATGTTTGTGGGTTTATCAGAAAAACCCAAACAGGTTTATTGCCTGTGCTGAGAGGTTATTATATGGATTTTTTGTCCACAAAAAAACCCTTTCATTATTACTCATAAAAAAAAAGGAGCAGTGACAAAACTACCCAGAAAGCACATACTCAATTTTACCTGCCAATGCCTTATTTGGTCAAGTTGCCTAACTTAAGAGTCAGCGCTAAACTCATTCACAAGCTTGAAAGTCAAGGAAAACTCTTGAGAAGGACTTGCCAATTTGGTCCATTGAGGGACTTTATCAACATGATGACTAATTAAAAAAAATGCCATGTCTATATATAAGATAAACATAAAATGTCTGCATTTCAGCTTGGTTTCATAAAACCACACAGTAAATGGGGCGGTATAAGCTTATCAGTATATGTGATATACTGATTTTTTCAGATTTCAGTAAGTACCACAAGATAAAAATCTAGCTCTAGAAATTGTATCCCAGGGTATTGTGACCCACTTCTCACCAAAATGAAATCAAATGTATGCAGACAGACCAGATGAATTAAAGATAAAATACCTACCTCTTCTCCTAATCACACTTTTCCTATGACAGGTCTCTTCATGTCTGAGAGGGAAACGTGCCCTTTCAGAAGCATGTGTGTAATGCAGCAAGTGTATGAGGCAGTGTTTCCTAGTCTCATGACTGAGAAATTTGAATTCCTTCTCCCTCCCCCATAAACTATTTCTCTTTTGTTAACTTGTTGTATTGCAGACTTGCCATCCTTATAAGCTCCCAACTTCTCTCTTTATTACTCACAACAGCTTCTTTTGTATCTACCCTTAGATCAACATACCAATTTCCTCATACCACCTGGGGTTTTTTCAGCTTTATCATTTTATCTCATTGTTTCTGAGAGTTTTGCTCTGTTGATCTTACTGATTATAAGGTAAAACACTTGTCCTTATATTGCTCTTCTCTGAATAAACCACAAGTTCTTTGCTTTGCTCGTCTGCCATCTGCCTTCAGGAACTCATGTCTGAAGGTGTAATTGGCTAATGGCAGGATGGGACACTAAAAATGAAATTCAAAGAAGTGAGTTGAGACCACATGAAAATTTTCAGCTCAGAAAGGTTTTTCTGTCCTTCATATTCACAAGTCCCTGTACCCCACTGCCTTCCTTTCTTAACCAGTATGTTCATTAGTTCCTATGAACGCAGCCCTGGAGGCTGTGTAGCATTCCCCAGGTAATCCATGTCCGAACTTTGATGACACATTGATGGCACTTACATGAGGACATGCTTTCAATGATGGGAATAACGAGAAGTGTGTCATTCTGGCACGTATTGATGACCTATACTTAAGTGTGTCAAAGAGCCAGCAAATGAAGCTTACCACAATGCATGCTGCAGTTTCTTTCACAGAAATATAAAAGCAGAAAGACCTGATTATAACACATTTCACTCAAATTGCTTGAGGCCTTATTTCAGAGGAAGTAGTCCATATCACACTTTCTTGCTGAGTTGTTTTTCTGATAATTAGGACTTTGTAATGCAAGACGATTATTCTTACTTGAATGCATGACCTGAAGCATTCCCAGGTTTTCTCTCTGCTACTGAGTACACCTGCTGGTTTTGCCTAGGAGGATGGTATTGGCTTACAGCTATCCTAAAAAACAATATTTGATAATTTCCCCCAGTTATATATTTTTTTTAACCATCAAGGAATTTTGGTTTAATGATTTGATTCTCATGGTCCAAAACTACTATGACTAATTCCATATACTTGTGACTTATTTTATAGACTTGTTTTTGGATTATATGTTTCAAATAAAAAAAAATAAATTCTCAACAGTAACTTTTTCTTTTAGTCACATTATTCATTTATTATCATACTTCCTGACCCTGTCATTTTGCTACAGAAAATCCACTGTACAAGAATTCTGAAGGGTCAGTGAGACATAAATTTTAGAGAAATGAACTAGCAAATGTTACGCTTCAAGTACTGTATGCAAACAATTCTGCAAAGGACCCTTGTGAGATTTTCTAGAGAAAAGTAGTCATTATATACTGTATTTGTATCAATACATTTCTACAGCATCTTCTTCAGGTTCACAGAGAGCTTTATGTGGTCTCTCCTTTTATGACATTTTGAAAGTCGCAAAGTACAAAGCTAAACTTTCATAAATATAAATACAAAAGGATATTCCATACTCTTATCTGTAAAAAACTTTGTAGGGGAAGAAGGAAACAATGCTGTGTGAGCTAGAGCAGTAGCTGTGGTACTGGTGATACTGTATATCAAATGTAAGATGGAAAGTCAGATTGTTTTCCTTTTTCTCTTTTAGAAACTTTGACAAAGTAGTTTGCTTTGTGTTCTCAAAATAAGTTCTATTGCCAAGCTGAGTTCTTCGAGTACAGAAGATGTTCCATAGCTAATTCTTTTTACTGAACAAGATCTCCAAAGTCAATTCTGAAAGACTTCACAGTTTAGGAGAGTTGAAATACACCTTTCAGAAATATGGCATTTTTTGCTTAAAATTAACAGTATTTTTCCTCATGCAACATTAAATTTCACCCACAGGTGTCCATGAGATTCTGTAGAAACTCAAACAGGTCTAAAAGGGCTTTTTAACTAAGATATACTTTACGGACTGTTTCATTAAGCATAAACATTCACTTAATGTGAGAAGATAGGAAAAAAACCCTACAGGTTTTATACATTGTAGGCCATGCAAGCAAGTATTATTTTGCTGTATCATTAAATGTATCATGTTTTCTTCTATGCATACAGAAACATACAATATATTTTCACATACATGATATTTGGCATTCTAAGAAGCTACTTATACATGATATTTGGCATTCTAAGAAGCTACTTATACCAGAGTTTATTTTTCTGCTAAGTATTAAGCATTCTGCATATTAATATAAATAGCATTGGGTATCTTGCCAGCGTCTGAAAATACTGAAGAACACTAATAAAAGACTTACTGGAACCGCTTGTGAGGCCTGAGGTACTTTTTGCAGTGAAGTGAGGGACAGCACAGAATGTTAAAAATTCACCCCCAAACACAGTTTTTCTCCATTCTTTCCCCTTTTGTAATCAACAGTATTTTGATCATGGCAATGCCATTACAACAAAAAATGAATCCAGCTTTCTTTCCTATTCCTAGGCACGTCTTTCCTAATTCAATCTTTTGATATCTTTAGCCTTAGTCTCATGTTTTGGTTGTGCTGGGATTGAAATAATCCTTCTCCCAAAGCAATCTTTTCCAGCCCCTTTTGTGCCCCTTCTTTCAGATGTATGATGTCAGCATGCCATTGGGGAGAGCTAGGTTGAAACCTGTCCCAGAATGGCATTGTGTCCCTGGCTCCTTGGATCCCGAGCGCTTACCTTGGCAGCCACGTGTCCCCTGCAGTGGCTCCTGTTGCACCATTGGCAGCACAACCTGTATCTGCCCCTAAGAAAAGTGTCTGCTACTGCTTGATCAGATACAAAGACAGGAAGCTGCTGTTAGATAAACAGGCAGCAGTTCACACATCTCTTGGTTTTGCTTCCTTTTTTCTTCTGTCCCAAATTCCTTATTGAACTAAGCTTATCCATGAGAAAAAAGATGATGAACAAAGGGTGGAAGCAACCTCAGTAGATGCAGGAATACTTTGAGAGACTTTATAAAAGTTTAATTTACAATATTGCCCAATTATATGAGCCTAGTATTTAGGTGTATATTATACACCTCTTATCTAGGAGACATTACATTCTACAGAGAAATCAATTCACAGAAATAAAATGCTGTGTTTTACTTGTGTTTACATGTGTAAATTCAAAATGTGTATGTTTTCTGTTGACTGAAGGATCTCACCTGCTTTTCTCTACAAATTGATCACAGAATCAAATAAGAATCCACTGAGAAGAGGTGAAAAATGTTTTACAATGACTTTAGGAGGTTGTGGAAAAAGAATTATTTTCATAATTTATGAGAAGTCCATGAATAGTTCTACTTAACAAAGGATAACAATATTTTATGCACTGTGAAAGGTTAAATATTTATGTATTTTTATATAACCTGAGGTTGGATGCAGTTTTCAGATAAGTGATTCTTTTAACAGATAATTCTATTCAATTAGACTGGTGGAAAGTTGTTACATGAGCATATTTCTCTTCCACCTCTGTGATCAGAATACTTTATTGTGTGTATTTTTTCTTAAATTCTGCTTGGAACAATACAATTCTGCTTTAAGAAAGTGGGTACAATTTCACTTGGTATGTCCATCTGTTGGGTAACACCAAAACTGACCGGTTTGATGATTCAGCTGCTAAGGAGAAATGAAAGAGAACAAATGGAAAAGTTCTAAAATTGGGGCATAGTGGCTTCCTTGAGAATACCAGGCAGCTCTATAATATTAAACTACTGTATACAGAGATTTGGTTCCTTTTTTTTTTTTTTTCAGTCAGTGTGACCTTTTAATCCACTGATTTTTAAGTACTGATCTGATTGTTACACAAAGCCTAAACTATCAAACACTTGTGGCCATTCTCAAACTGTTATAATAGCCTTTTCCTGTGTGGTGAATGGAAGATCATTTGCTTAGATAAATTTCTAAAATAAATTTCAGTCACACTTTCATTTTCACTTAGAGAAAAGTCATTAGACGAAGATCTGCTTTCATAACTTTACACGTGCCTTTTCCTAACATGGTACCTACTAAGTGTGCAGTATGCTGGTCCTGGTATTTTGTTGAGCATTTCTATACTTTGCTGAAGAAAAAAATCAGTTCTTATCATTATTAGAAATAAAGAAACATCTACAGTTCTTTGCTGTGATGACAGCAGAACTGAAAGATCAAAGAAAGCAAGAGAGATGATGTCTTTTATGAGTTCTGGAAATAAAGCTGTATGTTAAAATAAATTCTTGTGTCCATATGCAAAAACTTAATTTCTGATGTAAGCAGCACAATTTTCCAGAGTTTTTGTGAGCTCTGGACATACACAGTATCTCAGATCAGTCATCCAAGAACAACAGGTGTTATTAATGTTTGCTGAAAAAAAAAAATCCAACCCTGAAACAGAAAAGCATTAACAGTGGAAAACAATCTTACCTAGAAAAGAAGCATTAAGTAAGTCCTCAATATGTTTATTGGTTAAATTTGAGTTTACAAAGGATCCATGAACAAAGGTATTGTCAGGAAAATTAATCCACACATGCCAGAGGTTTATGTTCAAAAAGAGGACAGAGAAGTCCTGTAACTTTATTTGAATAAAGGGAGAGGACATGGGGTATTCCCCACGGGGTCTCTCAAAATTTTTAGGGGAATTTTTATCCTTGTATTCTCACCACATTTCCCTCTCCCTACTGGCTGAGGTACTTGAGAGGTACAAGCTTCCTGAAACACCTAATATCCCCTTTTAATGTATACTCCCCCACACCTTTTTCTTTTTCCTTGTGTCTCTATTTTCTTTCTCTAAATCCAGACAAGCAGCACAGTCTTGAGTAACAGTCTGTGTCAATTAGTGGAATTCCTATGGAATTTATGGTTCCCCCCCACTGCTTCTTTCACCCTGTCATAGCTGGCCTTATCTACCATCAGGCCCAGAATCTGTGTGTAAAGACACTTCTTTCTCATTCCTTTCAGTCTAAAGAAAAAAATGGTTCAGCACAAGGTCAAGATGCAGAATGAACATTGAATGTAAATATTCTTTTCCTTCCACCAAAGCCGATTCTGATAATGTTTTTCTGTACCAACTGTAAAGGGTGGGCACTCAGCACATCACAGGATTGCAAATATAAGTTTTGAAAAATGACGATTTTAGGATCTCATGAGTGAATATGAGACTGAATTTCACAGCTGAAGCCTTTTACATGAAGTAAATTGATGCACTGATCAATGAAACTATAAAAATGAAACAAATAATAATTCATAATGACTTTGCAAACCTTCCAGGTGTGCAAAACTGTACAGTCTGCTGGAATGAATCTGAAATAGGACCTGGAGCATAATGCTACCTGTGTCACTGACTCACAGTAGCCCTGAGGAAGTCACTCTGACTGTCTGCATGTAATAATGCTATCATATAGCTCATTTGGGTGTGAGCAGGTTCATTAGTTAATACTTGATATTGCTGTAAAGTGAAAAATGTTTTGCGAGTGCTTCGTATTGTTATTTAAAAAGAAATAAACAGGAAACGTCAGTCAGGTAATGTCATCACTGAGACATTAGATCCCTCAATGACAGTGGTAGACACACAATGACAAGGAGTGACCGAGGCTCGAAAAACAGCATTCTTTATGGTTAGAAACGTGCAAAACCGGGGCTTTTTCACTGGTCTTACACAACGCAGGACATTAGCCACTGCATCTCCTCATGGCTCATTCCTCCTTTAGGCGCATGAAGCATCTCTACGAAATACAGAGGTCAACAGACAAGACAGTTCCCCAATCAGGATTTTTTACACGATAATTAAGCTGATTGCTGATCTCCGGGTTACTTTTCCTCCGAGCCGAATGCTTGTAGGAGCTGGAGTCTGAGGGCACACCCCGACATTCCTCACGGAAATTTTTGGCGTGCGGCTCAGCACCACCTCGGCTGCTCTCATTTTGAGGCGGCCGCCCTACAGCGCACCCCTGAAGGCGTAAACAGGCTCGTTCAGCCCATCGTAATTTAAACTCCACTTTCAGCATCTCTCTCTTGGGTCCTGCTGACACAGTTTACGGATCTAATCCCAACAGGGATTCCCTGGGAAGGAAATTCCCTGGGAAGGACCTCTGCGGGCAGGGCCTGTGCGGGCCTGGCGCGGGGCCTTGGGGCGGCTCCGAGCATCTGCCCCTGCGGCGATTAAAGATCCTCCTCAGGGCGCGCCGGAGCGCGCTCCTTCAAAGCGCCGCTTCCTGCCGACTCTTCAGGGAGTTTGGTGGCAGCTTGAGAGGGGCGCAAAACCAAGAAACTGTCGGTGCTGGGAGGGCCTGGAAATGAAAGACGCATTAGGAAACGCCGTTCTTCGCCCGGGACAAGTATCGTGCCTTGCCAGAGACCCAAAAAAGGAGAGTCAGAGACCCCGAAAAAGACAGTCAGCTTGACTCGGCCTCTGCACGCGCCTGCTCACGCTGCACTGAACTCCGCTGCCGCCGCGGTCCCACACAAACCCCGCCTCGCCTCACAGCCACGCCGCTTTCCCACACTAAGGATGGGCCCGCGACAGCTTCACTCGCTGCTCCGTGCCCAACTCCAGCATGGCGACACGCGCCTCACCAGCTTGCCCTGCCCTTTCTCAAAATGGCAGCTTGAGTTCAGCGGGCGGGGCTGCCCGTAAAGGCTGGGGAGCCTTCCTGCCCTCCTCTCCCTGGAGCAGCGTGGTGGAGCCGGGCGCTGCCGCCCCGCCCCGGTGCGGTCATGTGCCGCGCGTT